CTCAGATCCATAGGTCATCACTGGCAACACGCACTGGTTATACAATCTGGTTTTGAGGTATTCCTGATGAGAAGATGTGTTATGATCTTCCCAACGCTGCCCAGCCGAGTTGAATCCGTCGATTGATCTGTCGGTCGAAGTTGAACTTACCTAGTCGGACTATTTGTCCCAAGTAAAATACTCGTCAAAAACTTCAGCTAAGTGCTGCCAAAAACCACCGGCATAGGTGTGACATGGACATTACACATGATTTTTGATTTGTCCATGTTCATCTTAAGACCTATCCGTTGGCAGACACTACTGAGGTCATTGAACATAGTGCGTAGGTCTTCCAGCGATTCTGCCTTAAGGACTATATTGTCGGCAAATCGAAGGTAAGTGACGTACACGCCATTGATGTTAATACCGTATCCTTTCCAGTCCAGTAGCTTGAAAACGTCTTCCAATGCAGCGGTAAAGTATTTCGGGGATATTACGACACCCTGTCTTACACATCTCTACAGTTGGATTAGTTTTGTACTCTGGTTCTGTACTCGGATAGCCATCGTAACCCTTAGACCATTCAACTAAAAATTATTAAGATTAAACTAACTACACAAAATAAAAATAAAAACATAATTTCTAAAATAATTTATTGTCAATCGTTCATTTAGTTCTAGTATTATAAAAAACAAAACAGCTGCTATAATAACGCCTATTCTAATCAACTACAGGTCTGTCTATTGACAGTAAAATATTTTCTACTATATAAAAATTTATGTTTGTTCGTACTTTCTACGATACCATATCGTTCATCAGATCGCGGTAAAACTTAGTCAACTTATTGGTTGCACTTGTGCGATGGTTATACGCATGGTACAATTAACTGACACTAGGTGGCGTGCGTATTATACTGACTATTTATTTGAAAGTTATAGAAAGTTATATATCATTCTATTTCAATGATTGTATTATCATTCCTAATTATACAATATAACTTTTCCACATTTTTAACGATATTTCCACAATTATTTCTTCTGCGGCAGCAATGCCCCCGGTATGAGCTAGCAAGATAATATAAAAAATATAAACTTTGAATTACATAGTTATCAGTTATTTACAACGTCATTTTCGAAATTAAAATTACAATATTAAAATAATAACTGAAATTATCAATTACCGAGCCCGATATAAGAATGGAGCCAGGGAAAAACGAGCACTTGGAAGCATCAAGTGGTGCAGCCTCACCCAAGTCGCGAAAAACAGTCGAGTGGCCCATCGCCAATCGCCATACCAACACTCCTCTTTCAGCGGTACAGGGAGAGGAATCTCCTCTAGCCGCAGCCCACTAACACACATCCAACGTGGCTCGACATCATCAGGCGACCTTTCGACACTTGGCTATGGCCCTTAAGTTTGGCGGAAAATGAGGAAGGAAGTAATAAAAAAAAACATTCGAAATAATAATCTAATACTTAGTACTTGGTAGTTGGTAGTGCTTGGTACTGGTACTACCAGAACATATTGTCGGTATACTGCACTTTTTCAAAGTGGTGCAGTTCTCATGTCTAATAAAACAGTCGTCTGTGAAATGTTTGGAACAAATATGATCATTTTGTTTCGGACTCCAATTCACAATATTTATGATTTTAAGCCATAATTTTAGTCTAGTTGGAAACCTGTTAGTTAATAAACATTTATTAATCATCAGTTGTTGTTGACTTTGTTTGTTAACAGATATGGGTAGTAAAGAACATCGATAAGTATTATAGACAAGGAACTCGAACTCGCCAAACCAAACATGTTGGTATATATGATATTAAGATTAGTAACAAATTTCTAAGTACTTATATTATCAAATAGTTTTAATTTGTTTAATATTTACTGCAAATTCACTTACTTGTGAAATGTTATACCACTTCCCTTTTGGTAACGAGTTTTACAGATTACGCACCCTCTCATTATTAATAAAAATAATTGTTATTATGTAACTAATATTATACACAATCAAACAACATAAATACTTTCGTTTTTTTCGTTTAAAAGTTCAAAATACAGACTTATTAAATATGATAATATGAATAAGACAACATACTTTGGCATATTATGTCAATTTTATTTTTCAAGACATCCTTTAGCGGCGCTTCAAATTGGCACAGTCATTTTGTGTGGTAGCCAGTCCAGTGTACTTGTATATATAGGTCAGTGACTCGCGGGGGCTGCGATGACGTAGAAGTCTATGACTAAGAAATATATTGCTCAAACCACAAACCAATAAGAAGTACTGGCGGCTCTAACTAAAACGAGATATGCACATGGAAGATTTATTAAAATGTAGAGTCACAGGAAGAAGAAAAAGCTTTAAGAATATATTTTATAATTTATTGTAGGAATATTAAATGAAAGGTTACATGAAAATGCTTTAGAATAGAATAGAACCAGCAAGAAACCCAGCAGGACAATTATTTTAATTTTAAAGTTAATTTACATATAGGTAGTTTATACAAACCAGCAATACATAACTCTTTAATACACAGGTCACAAAACGGAATCAACATTTAAAAGAAATGTAACATAATACCAAAATATATAGGTTATTTAGCTTAAGTATTCCGGTCCAATAAAATTGGTTACTTAACTTAAACGCCTGGTTGTGCCAATGTACACCTTTGCATTTCGTATTCGTTGATGTATTTGTTATTTAGGTTGACTGGCATAATCCCCCTCTCTACCATTCCATTGCCATTGCCTAGTAAGGGGGAGCTAGATACTGGTGGACTATCTTTGATTCTCCAATGAGAGGTGCGCCTCCCCAAGTAGAAAGGGGAGATAGCGGGTGCTATAAGAAGACGCGCACCGCCATCGTCGTCCCAATGCAATTTTCATCTAGGTATTGAAGGTATCGGAGAGAGGCTGCTCGCCGATATCCCCAGGTAAGTACCCATCATTATTAGGAGCTGTTTTATTTCTTGTTCCTTTCTTTATTTTATTTGTTGTTCCTCAAATTAATTTCAAAGTAAGAATATTGTTCAAAGTCCGCCACGTGCCACGTCCGCCATTTTGTTTTGGCAACTATTCATCACAGCTAACTTTTATACCCATTTTATGACATTAATTTTAGGTTAGCCAGAAGCGGACATGCGTACGATGTCAGTTGTTATTATTTGTCTATTATTCTCATTAAATTTGACTTAGGGGCCATTTATTAATTACATGTGGACGGTTTTGGAGAATTTGACCCCCCCTCCCCCTGCCCTTACATGAGGGTACATAAGATTTCTCGAACCCCTTCTTTTTCAGATTACCTTATTTTCCTTTTTAGATTATTAGAATCTCATTTTATTATTGAAGTAAGATTAATAATATGTTTTTAGAAAAGCACAAGGGGGTTAAATAAAAATATAGGGAGCGAAGTCTTGGAACATTGTAACCGTTTTTCAATTTTCGTAGAAAGGGAGGCACCCATTTTTGAATTCTATCTCCTTCATGCAGTGATAAAGGTTGATACAAAATAAAAACATTACCAACCTTGTTAAGATTCGAAATTCCCCCAGGACGTTTTTAAAAAAGCTTTGTTTAAAATTTAAGACCAATAATGTGGGATACATTAATGAATACTCGTACTACTTAAAATTACATGTCCGATACATGTCTGGATTCTGATGGGAGAGGAGTC